GATGTTATGGGGTCATTTATCAGGGCCTGGATTTTTATTAGTTTTCGTAAAACTTTCTATAACAAAAAAAGGCCTTTTCCCCCTTACTTCTCTCCCTTTTGTCCAGTTTGAATGCAAAATAGAACCCATTTCTCTGGGAAGCTCTTATTTCACATTCTGCAGTTTGAGGGTTGTGATGAAGCATAGTTATTTTTTCACCTACAGAAGCGTTAACCCCTGGTCTCTTCTCCGTCTCCATGTAGGGATAGACACAACCATCAGCTCGATTCAGATCATGGAAATCCAGCAAAGGATAGACCATCGGTATTGCAGTAAAAGCCTCCAGTGCAGGTGGGTCTCCCTCCCATTCTGCCCCTGTTCTTTCTGGATTTTATCCAGAACTCTGGGTTTTTATATGTACACCTATTCCTCACTTATTGGCTGACTCATTATCTGATGTTTTAACATAGACAATAGTACTAAAATCTACTATCTGACTGTTTGAAGCATAAACAATAGGTGTCTGGCAATAATAAACTGAGATGCAAGATGAAAGTAACGTTGGCTATGATGGTTAAGGTTATGTAACAACTTGGTTGGGTCATAATTCTCAGTGGTTTGGTAGGTATGTGATGATGTAATCTGATAGTTATATGATGTGATGTGATGTGCAGTTATGTAATACTGTAAGTTACCATTTTGTGATCTGATGTGGTCATCCATCCTTCATTTTTGCATCAGACTATTTTTCACATAATGACCTGAACTTTGGAATATAACAATGTTGACAAGTGAGGAGTGGGCAGATACGTCCACTACCATTGAGTTCATTCTAACTCATAGTGACCCTAGATATGTTTTTTGAGACTGTGAGTCTATGTAGGAGCAAGATAGCCTCATCTTCTTCCCATAGAACAGGTGATAAATTTGAACCACCAATCTTGCAATTAGCTATCCAGTTCCTAACTCACAGTGCCACAAGGGTTCTCTCTCTCTCTGCGCGCACACACACACACACACACACACACACACACACACACACACACAGTGTCTTTTTCCCCAAGTGTAAGCAGCTCTTCTTTTATTATTTCTCTTTAGTGGTTTTTAAAGACCCCAGATGCAGACTGTTGAAACACTGGGTCACAGTGGCATGCAGGCACGTGAGGTAGAGAACATGGCTCTGGGAGTGGGCTCTGTCTCAGTGCAGCCGCAGCAGCAGCCACCGGAGCCATGGGGCCAGGCAGCTCCTGCTGCTCAGGCAGGCAGGGCCAGGCGCACTCTGCTCTTTCCCCGTTTGTTCTGCCGCTGCGGCTCTAGCCTGTTCTTCCAGCCTCTGCTAGCAGTGGCAGCAGTCAGGGGCAGTAGCAGTGATGAGGATAATGGAAGTGGGCTTCCCTTAGGGTTTCATATGGTGTTTGTACAATGTTCAGATCACATAAGGTCCTATTTCACAGAACATATCATGGATGCTAAGTAATGCATGTAAAACGCAGTGTTTGCCAATTCAACATTTTTTTATGTATACTAGTAACACGGATGGCCTTAATCATGTGATAAAGCCATCACCAATTATATGTTGTAGGGCTCTTGGCTCTGGGACTGGAATGATGATGTTTTGGAAAGCTAAAGCTACATGGTGAAATCAATATGTGTTTATTTTGCTTCTTAAGGGAAAATACCTTAATTACTTGGTGGAAGAGGGAATCATAAAATGGAGGAAGAGGGAATCATAAAATCAAAAAATCATAAAAAGTCATGGCTCTAACAATTCCAGTCCGCTGGTTGATAGATAAATCCAAAGCAAAAGGCCTGGGGCTGAGGAGGCAGCTCTCTGAGGGCACATACCACTGGCACAGAGCTGCTAGTTAGCTTTATAGACAGGAAAAACTCCAGGTTATGAGCGAGCTGACATTTAGATAATTTAGTACCAAGGGACATCGTTATGTTAACGATTTAAAAATATAGTCCATCTTAGCTTAGAGGGACAGCCAGATACTGCCATGTGGACAAGCAACATCTATCTCCACTGTATGTTGTATCGCCAGGGCCAAGGTGATGAGGCATCTAGACACAGAGAGTACAACATGAACATCGCAGGCCTTTAGGATGGGGAGGGATTTTTGTCTGTGCCTTTGCTTTTAAGTTGATGTTTTTGGGAGTGCCTGCTGGGGTGAAGGCACGGTGCTAGGCACTGTGTGCTGATGTCACAGACCCTCTGGGTTATCACTGGTTTCCTTTCAACCTGATGGAGCCGCTCAGGTTCCAGGTTTATAGTCCTGAATGATAACGATAGCCCGCGTGATATTACAGTGTTAGTTCATGAACTCTATGTTCATTAACTTATGAAATTCTTCCCCAGTCCTTATAAGGTTGGTACTATGTACCTCCCTTTTATAGCTAAGGAGCATGAGGTTCAGTGAACTTGAACCGATTTGCCTAAAGTCATTTACCTAATAAATATCTCTCACCAAACTTTAATTTAGGTGGTAGAGCGACATAACAAAGCGTTAGATGATTCAACTTCAAGTCCTAGAACATCAACAGGATGCTATTTTCCCTGTGCAGAGGGGGCGCCATCTATCAGATGGAGATACTAAGCACTTGAGAGGGGTGGGTGTGAAGTGTGTAGGTTTGGAGAAGTAGAAGGAATTCCATTCATCAGTGCTTCCTCCAGTGGAACAAATCTCTCTTGATCTCAAGCCAGATCTTTCTATTTTCTCTCCCATTTTGAACAACTTGTCCCCCCTTTTGAACATTAAATAGCAACTCAGATGATTGACTTTTTTCCTCCCATTTATCTAGTTTTAAGTTGTTTTCTCCGTATAAATCCAAAGCCTAGCCAGATCACAAGAGAACTGGTTGTAGATACAATATGCCTTTTTGCTGGAGTTTTCCATGGAAGTGTGAGCCAAAAAATATTTCCGTGGCCTCAAATATCTCTCTTATAGGAGACAAATTGATGCATAAGCTTTTCTGTCTTGTAATATTTTTCCATAACTAAACAGCGATTTGAACTATAATAATTTTAGTTGAGTCAGGTTTTGAAAGTAAATTCCCTGCTAATGTTGCTTTAAAGAGAGTGCTTTATGGTAGAAAAACTGATATTTGTTATTTTCAGTTCTCTTTTCCAGGGGGATTGTTAGCTTGAGGTGTTTGTTTCATTTGTCTTCTGAAATCAGTGTCTTCTTAGGGGAACGGGCGTTATTCCTGCATTTTTAGTTTCTTGTCTTTGGTCCGCAATTTGATTTTCCTTGATTTGCTCTGTGTGTTCTGAAAAAAATGTAAAATTTCACAGCATAAATTATATTAAGACCTGAAAGCAAAACCATTTTGTAAAAGTTGACAGGTATGTCACTGAAATATAGTGCCATGTTAAACTTGATGTTCTCTATTATTATTTAATATTTAACAGCTTACATCCTAAATAAGGGGGCTTCAAAAAGCTTGCGGGATATTTTCGTTTCCCCCAGAACCTTTTGAATCCCCTTCATATGATGAGTGGCAAAAAGTCCTTTCTACATATTTTGATTTGTCATTTCATTTTTTTATAACCAGGTCTGGAAATTACAATTACAATATTCCTGTTAACAAACATACACCCACTAATGTCAAATTCTCTCTGGAAATCAAGTAAGTGCATAACTGTAATTAAACAACTCAGCTTTTTTCATTCACCGACTAATAAGCCTGCATTTTCTCCTCCACTGATCAGTAAGTTAAGAGGCAGAAAGCTCTCTGTGCACATTAATTAACGATGCTGATTTCAGAGGCAGCCCGTCTTCCAGGTACCTCTCTGGGCTGGGCACTCAGGCCTGAGAAGGTTGATCCTGAGCTTAATGCTGGTAAGCTGCTGACTTCCCTGGCTACATAGCCTTTAGAGTTGGGTGACAGCAAGATGGGAGATGACATATCTTGGTGAAATTAGGCCACAACAGTAATACACACCATACCCTGTTAGCTCTGTTAACAATCCCTCACAATGTAATTTTAAAATTCGATCAGAATCTCCTTCCACCTTCTTTCACTCAGCCCCACCAGGAAAAAGTCATTTTGTGGGACTTTCGATGACTGTGGCTCAAAGGGTATTAACAAATAATTTACTGTGGTAATTATTGCTAGTTGTTACTATTATTAATGCTAGTGACATTAATAGCTATCACTCGTTGATCATAGACCATACACCAGATACTATCCTTCAATACTGTGTATTGGGTCACATAACCTTCTAAGGTAGGCTTGCCCTCCCCTACTAGTTTGTTTATTTGTTTGTTTGTTTGATCTGAGAACATTTGGGTTTAGAGAGGTCAAAGAACTTGTCCCAGATCTCACAGTGATTAAATGATGGAATTGAACTTACAGCTGCGCCCATGCTTTCCACCCACGTTTTTCTGCATCCCAAAGGAGGTGGAGCACGTAGGGACTTGCCTCTTCCTGGCGCAGGGTGGGTACTCAAAAATGATGGCGATTTTTAGCAGTCTTTCCATCAAAACCACAAAGCTCTGATTTAATGGATTCTTATCATATATTTTAAAGAGCTGTGACACTTAAACATTTTACATATACCTAATTGCAAAATGATCCGGCGAGCCTCTCCCCAGGAAGGTTGTAGCTGCTGTTTGCATTGATTTTGTGCCTTGCCGGTCTCTCCTTCTCTCCCTCCCTTCTCTCCCTCCCCTTTCCATCAGACCTCCTCACTCTCCTGGGGCTTCCCCAGTGCCGCTGCTCTGGTTCTCCTGGGTATCGCACTCTCTCGAGCTCTTCCTGTTTCGCCCACACTGCAGACCCCTCTCATCTATTTTGCTTCCACGAGGAGCTAACGGTATTCAACCAAATTGCTCACCGTGGAACGCTTTACGTATAGGATGTTTCCTACCCAGATCCTGCCATATTTCAAGGCAGAACGAAGGTAAAGGTACTACTCTCCAATCCTTGAGTAACCTCGAGTAACATTTCCTCATGTGCTCCTCCCCTTCAAGGAAAGGAAAGACGCTTACTGGTAGTCCCCTGAAGTGTCAGAAACTCATCTTGAGCTACTGGTTTAAGCCCGTTAGTTTAAGTCATGTTTCTAATATGGGTGATTTAAAAATCGCATATATGCAACTGAGGTTTTAGGCTGTCCCCATGCGTGCACACTGATGTGTTTAAAGGCAAACATATTACATTCTCGTTGTAATATTTAATGGGCCAGCTTCCAGAAAAAGAGACAACTTTTCCCAGAGACCTTCCACTCTGTTGTAGCATTGCAGGCTGGCGAGTTTTAATGGGACTCACCATTAAAAAACTTGCTTGCCCTCCAGACAAGGCGTTGACAGAATCTTAAAAATCTTAGAAGTACCCATAGATACAAATTCAGTTGCCAGTAAAAGAGAAAGGGCTATAACTCAAATGTATTATTTTGTAAATGCCCGGCAATAAGAAATTCTGATGTCAAGGTCATTGAAGATACGCCGATTGGTTTTAGAAACTGGAAAATGCTATCTCAGTAGTCCTTTGAGATGGGGTTTCTTTCTGTAATAAGCATACATGAGTCTGTGTCATAGCATGCCTATTGTGAAGTAGATGTCCAAGCTATGTTCCCATCAGTCCCTCTGCTAGGTGGGACTGGTCATCGCTTTTCCATTTGCCCTTCTTTCCTTGTCTCTTGAAGCACAACAGAGCCGTTGATAGTCTTCCAGTGCAAGTTCACCCTTGGAAATATATGTTTTCACAGTCCAAGGGAAGCCGAAGGGGGGCCGAGTCACGGAGAAACCTCCCAGGAGATGACACAGGTAATGCTTTCCCAGGGTTTGCTGGTTCCTTGGCTCTGTGTCCCCATTCTAGATGGAAGTATGTGTAGTTATGATGGTTTATATTTACCGGGAAGAGAAGGATGCTCTTGCTACTTGCCATTTAGCCAGCTCTGACGCATCGTCATCCCATGGAGAGCAGCAAGCTACGGCCTGGTCCCGAACCCTCTTCATCATCTTTGGTTGAGGCCACTGTGCATATTTTTAGTGGCCTCCAACCTAGAGGAGGGCTCGCCCCCCAGCACTATATTGAACGACATTCTATTGCGATCCAACAGGTTTTCAGGCTCATCTGAGGCAGCACATTATCCGGTCTGTTTCTGGATGCTCCCTGACAACTTGTCTACCACCGAGGGCACTGGCGGAATTTAACATGCCGCGAGCGTAGTTTCTAGCATCCTTGCAACTCACAGGCTACCATAGTGCAATAGACGGACCTTCTGTCAAGTGCTGGTGCTTCCCTTGCTGGCTGACCCTGGTCCCAGGGTTTTTCTCAGCATCTTTACGATGTCCTTAAGCTGTTGTAAACTCTACCCATGCCTATCCAAAACTGCCATTACAGATACTCTCATGTGGTTGGCAAGATAGCCTGCATTATTTCCAGTCCAGTATAAAATGTGGTTATGAAATGGATCTTTATGTTCTTCATTATTTAGGGATATCAGCACATTTGGAGTCTCCCTGTAGCTCCGTTCTTTGACAGTGCGTACCATTTCCGTGTAGCTGCGCCGGTAAGCTTGCTTTTCTTCCTCTTTCCATGAGAAACAAGTGTATTTATGTATAGATAGCTAGATACACACACACACACACACACATCCATGTCTGTGGATACCTGACACTTTCCCTCCAGTTAATCGTTCTCTCTTCTCTCCTCTTCTGACAGGATTTAGCGGACTGTTCGACGGATCCTTATTTTGCAGGGATCTTCTACACGGATTACTTTTTTTACTTCCATCGACGCTGTACTTAATTTATTCACGTTTGGTTGGAAACAGTACCAGAGGAGATTACTCAAAATACACTTAACACAAACATCTTCTCTTTAAGCTTCTTTTTGTAAAGCATTCACATTTATTGCTGAAGGACTTTTTTCAGACTTTGGCTTCCAAAAGTACTGAGACATTCATGAGGAGAATAAAGGATTTGTTAGCACCTGAGATAATATGGTGTCTGATTTTTCTAGGACTATAAAGAAAACATTTCCTGAAGTAAGCAGTACCGGTGGATCTGAAAATACTGTTTCTGGTATTCAATAGCCTGTGAGGTCAAAACAGGTAGTTCCAAATTGATTTTACTTAACGTGTTTTCAAGTTTTTGAGAAAAATTAAGAGACCCATATTGTCTGGGTTGATTTGGACCCACTCAACGTGGACTTGGCTGAGACGATGTGATATGGCCTGTGGGATGATGCGGTATGATATGGTTTGTGGGGCAACTGGGTGGTGCCTGGTGTAGAAGTCACATGGAGGTACACTATTGCTCTGTGTGTGCGTGTGCATACTACATGCACATACAGCTGCTACACATCATACTACACATAGTGCTAGAGTGCAGAACATAGCATGCTGATAAAATGAATTTAATAGAAAAAAATGCGTCTCTGGTTGTGAAGTTTGAGGGACAGTAAACGTTCTGTAAGGATGGCATGGAGGCCCTCTTGTGCTAATTGGTAACACATGGTTTTTAGGTCATTCAGCTGGTCTAGACAGTTGCACTTGACTTTCTAGTTTTTGTTTCTGTTTTGTGTGTGTGTTTCTCCCTTCTACCTGCGAGGGATTATCTAAGAGGACATGGAGACCCATCTCGATTCGTTACTGCTGAATTCGCTTCAGAGACTTTTACCCAAATTATGAGTGGATTTGTAATACCTTTTCTAACTCTGAATGGCCAGAAATCTTTTACCTGGAGATCTAAGTGGCTCTAACTCTAGTCATAGGAAACAGGGCTGCAGAGCTGGCTGGATGCTACCTGACTGTGGGTCCGTAAGTCAACTAGGATAGGACAATTGGATTTTCTTTTTTACCTTGGCAGTGGTAATCAGTAGTTGTAATACACCCACATTTCCTGTTTGGGGGGTTTATTAAGAATACAAGGTGGATGGAAGTTAACTTGGAGAAATCCCCAACTACTTAGAAAAGTAAAGTCATGCCCCTTGCTGTCATAGAAGGCATTTTGAAATAAACTTATTAACACAAGGCAGTAAATTCCCGGGTGGCACATGATTAAATGCTCAGCTACTCCCTGAAAAGGCGGCTTGAACCCACAGAGAAGCACATCGGAAGGCAGGCCTCAGGACCTGCTGCAAAAAGGCCATTGCCTTGAAAACTCAATGGAGCCAATCTACTCTGCACACAGCAACTGACAACAGCAAGCCCTGGTGATTAGGAGCCGAGCCTCTACATTGTCCCAGCCTTGAGTTCCAATCTTGATTTTATCTGTGCATGTTTAGACAAGTTACCAGATGTAGCCCTAAGTCTTGATTTCCTTATACAATCGCAGCCCTGGTGGCTTGTGGTTAGCAGTTCAAAACCTCAGGGGCAGCCCTACTGTGCCCTATAGGTTGCTGTGAGTTGGCATCGATTTGATGGCAGTGAGCTGTCCAAGGGGACAGTGCTTCCCTGAGATATCATTTGTATACCAACTGATAGGCTCTCTATAAAAGTGAGGGGCTTCACACGTTTCAGGGGGGAAATTCCATGATCCTTTCATTCTATAGTTCCACAAACATGTTAAAGCCCCTCGTATGAGCTGTTGAAGAAGCCCTGGTGGCCCAGGGGTCGAAGCTCTGTGCTACTGAACCACAGGAAGACGGTTTCGATGCATCCGCTGCTCTGTGGGAGAGAGAGCTGAGTCTGATCAGCGGCTTCCACAAAGACTGACAGCCTTGGAAATGGGCAGCCCTCTTCTGTCTGTTCTGGAGCACTGTGATTCAGAATCTGCGTGATGGGTCTGGTTTTAGTTCATTGTTGTTCAACCAGCACAGAGCAGAAGCCGTAATGGGATCATGAAAGGGAATGAGTCACTCAACATTCCCTCACATTGAGGCATCTTGGCCAGCTGTAAAAGCCAAAGTGCTGATAGCACGTATGCATAGGTATCACATGATGTTCATGTATTTTTCTATATCGGGAAAATTGTTTTCCTGTCTACTGATGACACCACCTTTTTAGTTAATTCTAGGGTGGTGTGCTGCAGGAGTCTCTCATTTTCTTAGCGTGAAGTTCAAACTTGGTTTTCCTTGAGTTGTAGAATCAGCTTGACCTGGGTTTAGGTACTATACCTACCAGTCAGTCTAAAAAAATTCCAGATGTGCGAGAATCTATCCATTTGACTATTCTTCTCTTGGTAAAGGAATATTTCTCAGTCATATAGTTGCAAGAGTTCTTTTAAACAAATAAGTCCCATTATCTTTTAATTTTTATTTAAGTCAAAATTTAAAGTTTGACCTCATAAGGTCAAACTTATTAGGAGATTAAGAGATCTATAGGAACTATAAGTATTTCACAGCTGACTTTAATCACAAATACAGCAATATAGTCAGTGCCAACCTATTTTGTGGACACCCTTGTTCTTTTGTTCCAAGAAAAGTTTGCACCATAGACTTGGACTTAGGTTTCAGAACTTTTCTCCCTTCCATGTCAGAGCTCCATTTTTTCCCTTCTGCTCAGGCAGCAGTGTCCTCTTTAGTATGAGAGTTAGAACCATGTGGCACAGAGTCAACTTTTGGTGCCCATCCCATCCCAGGGATTTCCCATCACTCCCTGGTATCAAACTCCATCTTCCATTCATTTCTTTATGTTGTTTACTCCAGATGGTATATTATTGTAAGTAGG